TCCAGCAGTGTCATCTCTAGTGGCTGTTGCTACTGGAGCTGGATCCGGCAGAGTCTCTGGAAGGGTTGGAGTGGATGGGACGTATAACTAAAGGTGGAAGCACAAACTACGCCACATCCCTCCAAAGCAGGATCACCATCGCAGTAGAGTCATCCAAGAACCAGTTCTCCCTGCAGCTCCGCTCGCTGACAGCCGCAGACACCGCCACCTATTACTGTGCCCGAGACACAGTGACACAGCAAAGCGGGACTGGCACAAAAAGGGGAAACGGTCTTATGAAAGTTCCAAGCCATTCTCCCCCAGTGGGGTGGTGTCACTTATTGATTTCTTTGACCCCTCCTCGTCCTTCAATATCACCATTCCCAAATCCAGCTGGTCCATTCCGACTGGGAGCTAGTGACACCAGGAGAGACCCCCGCACTGACTTGTATCGGTGGTTATCTTGTGGAGAGGGACTGGATCCGTCAGCCCCCAGAGGGAGGGTTACAGGGGCCGGGAACCCTACATTCCTACTGCTCATCTTTCCAAAACTTTCTCAACCTCTCTGGGAATGCCCCTGAAGACAAGTTCTGTCCACAGCTGAGTGACATGACAGCTGCAGGAACCGCCGTGTGGTACTGCTCCAGACACAGGCAGTGAGCCAGAGCAAAGCGGGGATCGGCGCTAGAAGGGAAACCGGTTTGCAAACCGTCCTTTAGCACTGGGCGTTAGGAGCTGAGGGAAAGGGACTCACTGACAGGAGGGGTTTTCAGGAGGGGAAGTTGGAAAATACCTCGTGTACCAAGTTCCCTGCAACACAACACACACTGCACGGGTCTTATTCCGTTTCTTTAGGAGGAGTAATGAAAAACACACCTGTATCTACACACCGACTCAGAAGACTTCTCATCCCTTCCAGCAGGTGGCAGCACAGACACATAGACCCAGAAAAGCAAGCGAGCGAGCAGGAGTCACGCACTCTCAGGGAAAGAGTAGCAAACACACACACACACAACTGTTTGTGCCGCTACACATAAACACACAAAAGTTGATCCGGATTCCTTCCCTCCCATACGGACGAGCAGGGAGGGAAGGACACCCCCATACACAACGAGTTGGTCTTTTCTCTACCTAGCAGGAGCCAGGAGGCCTCACAAACACACCCTGGCATTTCTCCTCGGGTGGGACTCATTCAATCCAGCAGAGAGCAGCGGTGACACACACACGGATTTGCACCCACGCGCTATGACACAGTCCTACAAGGAGGTAGGCGCCCCTCGTGGATTAAAATTTAAGAGAACCGGGTTCTGATCCCGACCCGGGTGACCACAGGAAGTCACTTCACCGCTCTGTGCCTTAGTTTCCCCATCCCTAAAATGGAGACAGTTCTCCTTAATTCCAATAACAGGCGGCAGGGACACACAGCAATACAGTCATACACGTTCCACCCAGGAACGGCGTCAGGGTTTTTGCCACCCTAGGTGGGGGTCCTTCCACACTCCCGGTCTTCGGGGCACTTCGGCGGTGGGGGGTCCTTCCGCGCTCCCGGTCTTCGGGGCACTTCGGCGGCAGGTCCCGGAGCGAGCGAAGGACCCCCCGCAGAATTGCCGCTGAAGACCCGGAGTGCGGAAGGACCCCCTACCACAGAATTGCCACCGAGGGCGGCAAAATGCCGCCCCCCAAATCCCGGTGCCCTGGGCGACCGCCTAAGTCACCTAAATGGAAGTGCCGGCCCTGGTTCCACCCAGCAGGGGTCTGCAACACCCAAACAATCGCATCTATGACAAGACCCAGACCTTATTCCACATCCAGCCAGGGACATCACCACACAGACACACAGCAGTGGAGAGCACAGGTCTGGGCACTCAAACCGAGGGGGTCAATCAAGGAGGAGGGAGAGCTGAAGGGTTTTAAGCTCCGTGGCAGTGTATTGAAACTGTTCGGTGTCACTTGAAGAGCCGGCCCAGCGTCCCACAAATAAAGCAGTTCTGTGTTTCGCCCCGGTGTGAGGTGCAGGCCCGTGGAAGGAGAAGATTCTGGCTAAATCAGAGTCCCCTGTCAAGCCCTTTAACCTCCATCCCCGCTGGGCAAAACCCACATGCAAATCCCTGCCCTGCTTAAACACCAACACCGGATCCCACGAGCCTCAGGCACCGCGCCGCTCTGGCCCGTTTCTTCCTGCTGCAGGGTATCCCCTTCCTTCCACACCTCGCAGAAATGGCATTGCTGCTGCTGGGGTTTCTTTTCTGCCTCGTGGCGGCTCCCTTCTGTGAGTATCTCGGGGACACGCAGCCCCTGCTCTCCTCCCTGCCCGCAGTGCAGCGTGGAGCGTCACGTCTCCTTTTCTCTCCTTCGCCAAGGTGTCCGCTCACAGATCCAGCTGGTCCCGTCTGCCCCAGGAGTGGTGAAGCCCGGAGAGTCCCTCACAGTGACTTGTACCGTGTCGGGGGACTCCATCGCTACCCACGCCTGGTGGAACTGGGTGCGCGAACTCCCCGGCCGAGGGCTGCAATGGGTAGGGCGCATCCATTTCTCCGGGAGCACGAACTACGCCCCCGACCTGCAAACCCGAGCGAACATCGCCAAAGATGACGCCAAGAATGAGTTTTACCTGCAGCTCCGCTCCCTGACCGCTGCGGACACAGCCACCTATTACTGCACCAGGTGGGACCCACAGTGATACACACCATGACAAGATCCCAGGAGGGGAGAGTCCCCCCCGAATGAGGCAGCTACGTCTCTTCCCTGTTACAATCTTCCTGCCCTCTCCCAAGGCGCCTGAGATCTTTCCCCCTTTGCGCTGATAGCTCGTTTCCAATCCGGAAAAATGTCCAGTTGCTGTTTCCTAATTATCTTGAATCTTCATTGCCCGGGAGGAAGTGTGATTCGGGGATCAGGAGCTGGCCAGAGGCACATCTGTCTTGTTTATTGCTCTGCAAGACCTGAGGCAAATCACTTAGAGCCAGATTTTTAAAGGTATTTGGGCGCCTAATAATTCCCGTTGAAATACCTTTAAAAACCTGGCCATTCATTAGGCTCTGTGACTGCCCCCCCGGGCTACCAGACAAATCAAAATCCTGAGTTTCGCCTGATGAAAAGGGCCAGGCCCCAGAGAGATCCCCACCTGCAACCAGAATTAATTTATCAGCTCGTCGATTTTCCCATGTTCCGCTGCAGGGCAGCAGCATCTCAATCTGTTTCCTCCATTTAGCCCAGAACCAGCTCCCTGCCAGTGGCTGGGACGGGGATATTACAGCAGTTCCACCTGGCAGACAGACTACGGCTCATCCTTCCAGAGCCGAATCACCATCTCCCCTGATTCCTCCAAGAACCAGCTCTCCCTGCAGCTCCGCTCCCTGGCAGGTGTAGACACCTCCACGTATTACTGCGCCAGGCAGACACAGTGACACAGAGCAAAGCAGGGACCTGTGCAAATCAATGGGACATGGATTCTGACCAGACTTTCTGGCCTCTTCCTTGCTGTAATTTATCTGTCTAGAGAAAGGGGAACGCAAACACAAGAAATTTGCACTAGACGGAAATGAAGGGACATCTTCTGCTTCCCCTTTCCATTCCCTCCTCTCCCCAAATACACTCCTTCTGTGCTAAACAGTCCTGAGAATCTTGGCACCGTGACCTTAAAGAATCAACAGCTGTCGCTTCAATTACTCTGAATTAATATAAATCAGTTTATTTATTGTTTGTGCATTCTCTTATTTCGGTTTCAAATTCGTTCCAGCGGTTCAGCTTGGGAGCCAGGAAAAAGGCTGGAAGCAAAGTTTATAACCAAAGTGTAAGAGTGTCCACATACAAAAAGTCGAAATGGTTAATCTCAATGGGATTGGAATCACATCGTTATTTACATCATCATCCCTGTGAGTGTAGAAAGTGCACGCACACACACACACACACACACACACACACACACACACACACCAGATCTCATTCCCTCCAGTAGGGGGAGCAGTGATACAAGCAGTGATACAAGCAGAGAGAAAGCGAGAGAGAATGAGAATGCTCTTGTATTCCAGAACTCTGTAAAGGAACATGTGAGTTTTTTTCTCTCTCATAGAAACATGATTAGATCTCAGATGAGACTTGAGGTCCAGCTAATCCGGTATCCTATTCCAACGGTAGCTGATGCTTCAGAGGAAGGTTGTTTGCAGTGTTGTTGTAGCCCTGATGGTCTCAAAAATATTAAGATACGCAAGGTGGGTGAGGTAATATCTGCCACTGAAACAACTTCTAATGGTGAAAGAGACACGTGTTTGAGCAACACAGAGCTTCTCTGCAGGTCTGGAAAAGGTCAGACCTGAAGATGACCTCCGTGTAGCCAGACAGCTTGTCTCTTTCACCAACAGAAGTTGGTCCAATCACAGATATTATTTCACTCACTTTGTCTCTCAGAGGAAGGTGGATGATAATCTGAGCCACACACAGGTTTTACTAAAACAGATACTAAACCTCAAAGATTACTTATGGGCTTGTTGCAGGAATCATCGGGTGAGGTTCAATGCCTTGTGTTAAGCAGGTCAGGCTAGATGATCAGGTCTCTTGGTAGTCCCATCTGGCCTTAATATCTATGAATCTATGAAAATTACTGAAATGTTCCCAATGTGATTGCAAATGAAATGAAATTACATGAAAACTCTATGGAATTTTACATTCAATGAGATTTGGCTGCCTAACTCCCTTAGGTCTGTCTGGGGAAAAAAGCCATTGAATTATAATAATTAACACAAGAATTCAGGCTCACACCTTCTGTTTAACCTTCAGTGTTTGGACACCACCTGCAGCAACGTTTCCTGACAGCTGCAGACACGGCCACCTATTACTGTGCCGGAAGTAGCCCAGTGACAGAGAGCAAAGAAGGGACTGGTAAAAAAAGATGAGGCCAGTAAACAATAGTAAGGTCAGAGATATGGAGACAGTTAAGCCACCCAGAGAGAGAGACCCACAGTAAATTGAATCTGAAAAGGCATATATATGAAGAGATTTTCCCCAGAGAATCCAGAACTTACCCCCTTTTCCTGCCCACCGTTTGCCTTTCAGCTACCACAGGATCTTGTCAAACTCCCTGAGAAAATACATGTATTTCAATGGTTACATGAACAGGCAGGGGAAGATTAATGGAAATGTAGAGTTACACAAAATCACTCAGGGCCCAAAATAAGCCCCACACATCTCATTCCTGCCTTAGGGGGCAGCAGTGTTTCTCCCACCCACCCTCACTCCCAGGCAGTTCTTCTACATGAAACACACCTCGGAATACGGCGCTGGGTTTCTCCCCGGCCTGCGGGTCAGATTCTGCCCTGTGTCCTGCCACCACAGCCTGTGTCCTGACAAAGCCCAGGGGCTGCATCTTCTCTCCATTGCCTTTTCCTTCCCTCTCACCACAGCTGCTTTTCATGTTCTGCGGCCTAAACCCGCCCTTCCCCCACGTTCAGCTGCTGCTCCTTCCCCATCTAACATCAGGGGGAGAGATAGCTCAGTGGTTTGGGCATTGGCCTGCTCAACCCAGGGTGTAGGGTTACCATACGTCCGGATTTTCCCGGACATGTCCGGCTTTTGGGGCCTCAAATCCCCGTCCGGGGGGAAATCCCAAAAAGCCGAACATGTCCGGGAAAATCGGGACGTATGGTAACCCTACACCCTGGGTTGAGCAGGCCAATGCCCAAACCACTGAGCTATCTCTCCCCCTG